AACGATTTACCTTGTAGTTTATAAATCCTGCCATAGTCTTGATTTCCAAAATGTTGGTTTCATGGGCTCTCAATTCATGTACAAGATTATAGGCGGTCCTATAATTCCTGATATAAACATGGGAGAAAGTGCTTAATGGCAATATTATTTTGAAGAAAAGTTCCCTAAGATCACAATTATTAGAAATAATAGTGACAATATTACTCAACATAGCATTAAACAGGGGTGCAAAGCCTGCCAATCCTGTTTCTTGGAAAAGATGTCTTGGTTAATACAAAGAGAAGTTAAAAAGTATTGCTACTCAGGCTCCAGTTCACACATGCATGGATCTATCCCACACAAAATGTTTAAACAGATGGCTGCGCTCACGCTCTCCCAGGAACACACGTATCTTAGTCTCATTGTGGTGCCTTCCAACTCCACACAATCAGTGGTCACTGAGGGGATCTGCTGGGCCAGTTAAATTCGAGACAGAGGTGTTAGCTCAGAAGGTTACAGGAGTTCCACAAAAATAATCTGGGTATATTTTCTTGAAGGACAATCACTGGTGTTTATTAGAAAGAAATTTTAAGAAAATTGAAAAATCCATGGTGAGAAAAAGGCCAAGAAAATTCTACAAGGCACTGTTTTCCATCACAAAGTTAACAAAGGTTGTCTTACATGGGAAATGGGAAGCCTTACCCCCATCCACCAAATAGCCCTGACCTTGCCCCTCAGATTTCTTTTTGTTCCCCAAACTCAAAGAACATTTACAATTGGGAACAAGAGTTGAGTCCCTCAGGGATGCTAAAGACTGCTGTTCTGACATTGTGCAAAGGGAAGAGCACCGAACTCTTTGGGGTTGGGTTGGAGAAACGGAAACATCACCTTCAGAAGTGTACAGACTTAGATGGAAGACATATTGAGAAACAACAGCTCCAGATTTTCATAATTTGGTTTCTTAAAAGTTTCTATTCTTTTTGTAGCAATACTTTTCATCTTGCCCCTGTAATCCATGTGAGACAAAATCAATGATCTTTCACTAAGTACAGAGCCAGTGTCTATGCATTTTTCTCAGTCAATAATTGATAGAAAGTAAACTGAAAAACAAAATTAATTGGACAGTTATCCAAATTACAATGAAAAATTCACATCCTGTTAACACAAGAAATACACTAAGTACCATTAATTGCTTCTCAAGTACTTTTTTCATAGAAAATAGCGTAGAGTCCAAGTAAGTTAGTATCAAGACAGCTCACAGGTCAACAACTGTCTAACGCAACGAATCACTCGCTATAAATTAAGTTGCTTTCACTATCTCAGGCACAGACTAATGGGAAAGGGACAGTGGTGCAGGACGACCAGTGCTGAAGGAGAGGGTGTGCACAAATGAAGGCAGCAATGAGAGCAGTGACAGGCAGCAAGGATCGTCTCACCAGCTACCTTGCTGCCTAGCCAGCCTTGAGGGGCAGTAATAAGGAAAATCCCAAAGCTATCTCCACAGAAAAATGTTAGCTCTTAACGCCCCCATTTTCCCCCTCAAAATTCCTTTTTGAATAGAACTGATATTAAAGGTTTTTAACTATTGAAATAAGAAAACACAGAACAAAAGTGTTTCTACTGAACTGATTCTGACTCACGGTGGCCCCTGTAGGACAAAGCAGAACTGTCCGAGTTTCCCCAGGCTGCATAGAAGCGGACTACCACCACAGCCGTTCTCCCATGGAGTGGCTGGGGGGTTCCAACACCAACTTTTGGTTACCAGTTAACCAACTTAAACCACCAGGGCTCACTTCTACCGCCATAAAAAATAAAAACTAGTGATCATTATACAGAGAAGTTGCGACTCAGAAACTGTGGTCCTTAGCACCTCAATAACAAAACCAGAGGCTTCTGCACTGGTCCTCCAAATCTCAGAACTGCTTTTAGTTACTGCGGTCTTGTTCTCCCAGATAAACGTAGTCCCTATTCTCAAGTCTGAGATAAAGGTATGGTAACCCTTAGTCCAATGGCTACTGTGTATCTTCAATAACTGAATGTTAACCGGATTCACGCATTTAAGATTTTCTTGTTTGTCCAGAAATAAATGGAATATACTGTTCGGGGTTTTTTACACACATTATGTAATTTAAAACTTATTATGTCTTGTTAAACACAAAGGGATAAAATACTTCGTGACAAAATATCTGCAACATGTCTCCAAGGCTCACAGCAGTCAATGAATGGAAAATGATGCAGAAATAGTAAATATGGAAGAGAAAATAAAAGTACAATTGAATTGAATAAATAATTCAATTGAATAAATAATACACTCAATAAATCAGTCTACTTTAAATGTACTTTAAATCTACTTTATTAAATCATTTGGAAATCAGTCTCCTAACAAAAGGATTAAAATGAATATACAAATAAGGATAGGAAAATATTTAATACTATTAGTTCTTTAGATCATAAAATTTTAACTAACTTAGCTAAAGAGAATATTTTACAGATACTTTGAAATTTATTTTACATTATGAAAAGGAATTTAATCCCCAATTATTATACTTCATTTCCCTTTCGACACACTAAAGAATATATCTTAAACACCTGAATCCAGTCAATGTAAACATTTAAAACTTAAGGTTTTGTGGAGATTCAGAGCCTGCAATTAATGTTATTATTAATATAAAAACTTACTTCAAGGCATTTTGTGTATCTTGCTTTAACTCACTGAAGAAAGCTATTTTGAACTGATGTCTAACAAACAAAAGCTGAAAGAAAAATGGAATAAATTATTACATATATATTCCCTTAAAACTGGTTCTCAACCTTCCTAATGCCGCAACCCTTTAAGACAGTTCCTCATGTTGTGGTGACCCCCAACCATCATAAATATGTGTTTTCTAATGGTCTTAGTCGACCCCCGTGAAAGGGCCGTTCGAACCCCAAAAGGAGTCACGACCCACAGTTTGAAAACCTCTGGCTTAAAGTGTGATAAATGATGTTTATAAGGAGAAAAATCTTAAATACAGTGGGAAATATTTAGAAAGCAAGTAAAATAATTCCAGCCATCAAAAATAGAGCTAAGGCTATAAAAATCTATCTTCAAGAACTTTAAAGGCAAAACAGATAACTTTTAACAAAGTTTTAAAAGTTTAAAAGCTAGCGAATTTTGGGAATGATGAGGGCAACAAATGTACAGGTGTGCTTTACACAATTGATCTATGTATTGTGATGAATTGTATGAGCCCCAATAAATTGATGAAATAAAAAAAATATATACGATTGGGAAAAAAAGCTATTTTATCTACATTAATTTACAATTTTCAAAGTTTAAAAATTAATTTATTTTAGAAGTTAAAATTTTAAAAAAATACTATAAAATTATTGAAGCCACTTTTAAAAAAAATAAAGTTTTAAAGATATTTAGCCTCGGGGAGGAGATGAGCCAGTCAGGGTGCGATGTAACAACGATGAGAAATACAACTTTCCTCTAGTTCCTAAATGTTGCCTCCCGGCTCCCACTACCATGAACTGAAAATACAGGGAAT